TATATACATACCTACATACACCCACATATATACATACCTACATACACACACATATATACATACCTACATACACACACATATATACATACATACATACACACACATATATGCATACATACATACACACACATACACATATACATACATACATACACACACATACACATACATACATACATATACACACATACACATACATATCCCCACACATACATACATACATATACATAGATATACATAAAGAAAGAAAGAGAGAGAAAAAAAAAAAGAAAGAACTCATTGTTGAAGCGAACCTGGCCCATCCGCGGACCTGACCTGGCCCACGGGTCATATGTTGAACAGCCCTGCTTTAAACCAAGCTGTTGTTTCTTTTAATAAAGCCATGGAGTGATATCCCATTCCCTGAACAGCTGACCGTTAACATAAAGTTTATCTACTGCCACTGTAGCCCTGGCGCCCTCAGACATGAATTTTTTCCTGATTGGAAATAAAACTCGCCTCCGATCGAGTATTTCTTTAGGAAACTGATCATTAACGCTGAAATCTTTCCCACGCAGCTCTCTGCCCTGACTTCTCACCTGCTCTTTCTGTTTATAATGCTCAAATTTAGCTATAATTGGGCGAGGTCGTTTGTTATCGGGCCTCTTACCTCCGAGCCGGTGAACACGATGGAAAGTGAACTTTTTTACGGTTTCACTTGGGAGTTTCAGCTCACGTTGGATAAACTCACGGATCGTCGCTTCTGCGTCCTCCTCTCCTCGTTCAGGGATCCCAGAGAAGACAAGATTATCCCGCATACTCCGAGCTTGAAGGTCCAGGATGGACTCTTTCATTTTTCTGTTATCTCCGGATATCTGCGTCATCCTCTCTGTGAGATCTTTAACGTCTCCCCTCAGAGATTGGTTTTCTGCAGCTAGCGACGCCACCTGAGCTTGACTGAACTCCAGAGATTCCCTCAACGCTTCGAACTCTTTGTGGAGAGCTTCAACGAGAGCCAGTCGGGCATCTAAACTTGTTAACTTTTTGTCGATGGACTCCAGAACATCGGTGAAGCTTTTCTCAGGAGATGTGGACGCGCCGCTTGAGCTCTCCGAACGCGTGCGCTTGGATGTTGGAGTAGCCGTGGGCGCGTTCTGAGGTTTACCCATCACTATATTCTCAAAGCACGCGTCCAGGTAGCTCTCAAGACTGTCCAACGTCTCCTCGTCCAGTTTGTTTTATTGAAACAAAAAAGCACAGGTTAGTAATAACAAAAAAATTTATGAAAAATATTAATATATTCGATTGTTTTACCTGAGTTTAATTTATTTTAATTTAATTTGTTTGGTTTACCTGAATTTTGTCATTTACTTACGCTGCACAGCTCCTACGTGATCTCAGCCGCTCATCACCAGGTGACACCAATCCGAACCTAACTAGAGGATTTATCCAAAAGGAAAGTCATAAGTCCAGTCTTAAAACTGGACAATGTGTCAGCCTCATGGACAGAAACTGGAAGTTGGTTCCACAAAAGAGGAGCCTGATAACCGAAAGATCTTCCTCCCATTCTGCTTTGGAATCTCTAGGAACCACAAGTAAACCTGCAGTCTAAGAGCAAGTGCTCTGTTAGAAAAATTATGGAACACTAAGATTTGTAAAATGACATGGAGCTAGGTTGTTGAGAGCTTTGTAGGTTAGAAGTAATTTTGAATTCTATTCTGGACTTGACAGAGAGCCAGTGGAGAGAAGCTAAAACTGGAGAGATATGATCTATCAACTCTCATTAGAACTCTGGCAGCAGCATTTTGTATCAACTGAAGACTTTTTAAAGAAGTTTTTGGACACCCAAATAATAAACAATTGCAGTAGTCCGGTCTAGACATGAAAAATGCATGAACCAGTTTTTCTGCATCATTTTTAATAATAATAACACTTTATTTATAAAGCCCTTTAAAACAACCACAGCTGCAACAAAGTGCTGTACACATAAAGTCAAGAACATTTTAACCCATGAAAAATAAAATACTTGTTAAAACATTAAGGTCAATAAAAACAGTGCAGAGCAAATTCAGTCTAAAAACCAGGGAGTAAAAATGTGTTTTTAAAAGAGTTTTAAAAATGGACAGTGAACGGGCTCATCTGATGAGAAGAGGGAGATCGTTCCACATTTTTGGACAAAAGTTTCTAATCTTAGTGATATTACGCAGGTGAAGGAAAGCGGTCCTCATAACTTTTTTAATGTGGGGGTTTTACCATATATCCAAAAATAACACCAAGGTTGTTTTTTTTTACATTAGAACTGGGAGCCAAATTAATGCCATCCAGCAGAACTAAAAGGCTGCAAAGTTTATTCCTCAAATGTTCGAGTCCAAAAACCACAACATCTGTCTTGTCTCAGTTTAAAAGCAGAAAAATATGGTTCCTCCAGGTTTTTATGTCTTTAAGACATAATTGTAGTTTAAGTAACTGACTGGATTCATCAGGTTTCATGGACAAATAAAACTGTGTATCATCAGCATAACAATGAAAATGTATCCCATGCTGTTTAATAACTTTACCTAATGGAAGTATACTGTATATAAAGAGAACTGGTCCAAGCATTGAATCCTGAGGAATGCCATGGCTAACTTTGGTGTATGAATCAAGCTGCACATTTTTCACATTTTGGACAGTTTTCAAAAAAAATTAATTGAATTAAAAATTGCAAAAAAAAAAGTGGACAAATAAGAGACCATTAGCAATAAACATGCTTCAGTGGTAACGCATCTTGTGTTTTTTTTAATGTGTTAGGAGTGGCTCAGGCCATCAATAACTTTGAATTTGTGCTGAAAACCTTTTTTTCCCTTTGGCTTTGAGTTATATTTGAGCAGAACATCCAGGTTTGTTTTTAATAGTCAATGATTTTTGTGCACTGACTTTTACTGTCCAAATGTATTTATTTATCCTAATATTGTGTTTTATGCAATATTTTATTGTATTTGAGTTCACGGGCATTTACTTTAAACTTTGTACAACGCTTTGGTCCTTAAGGGTTGTTCTTAAAATGTGCTATAAAATGAACTTTTGCTTGATTGATTGATGATTACAAATGTTATCATTACCTCTTGGTACAGCAGAAGAATGTCCAGGTGGAAGAAGGTTTTATTGCCAAAGGTTCCTAACTCTCGGAGACTGATGCGTTGTCCGACCTCATCATAGGTATACTTGGCCAGGGCCAGCCTGTCATTTTGGGCAGACTTTAAGATGATAAAAATGAAACTCAACTTAAAAGATGCTAAATAATCAGTAATCCACTAACTAAGTAGCACTTCAAAATTTAGAATTTTGTGTTTTCAGGATTATCAGACACTTTGTACTTACCACAGAGAGGCTTCCTGACATCAGTGCTGGAGACGCTGTTGAAGTTGAAATACACAGACTTTAATCCGAGTCGATCAGAATGTTAATACTGCAGATCATGAGGGGTCACTTAGGACCTTTATCAGAATTAGTTTGCATTTGAATCTATAAAACGTAATTCTCACATCAAGAAAACAAATCTTGGAAACACTAAATCCCGTTCAAACACACATGAAAACCTTTTATACACACATCTGGAGACATTTTACTAAACGTAAGAGATTTCCACCTGTGTGTCAGTAGTGTGTGTTTTCAGCATAGAGGTCTATAGCTAACTTCTTTCTTACAGCCTGCCTTGTGTCTCGCACAGGGACTGTTGGAAATAGGCACCAGCTCTCCAAGGCCCAGAAAGGAGAAGCGAGTAAATAAAATGGATGAATGGATGCAAGCTAATTCTGAATAATGGTATATGTGGCCCCTCATACATGTGCAAAGCTGCTTACGGTAAAAACACGTTTCCATTGTATCTTGAAACACAGTTTGAAAACACAATTTAAATATAAATATTTTCAGAAGTACTCACAGCATGGTTGTGGTTTCTGAGCCAGGCAGCCTACTGACAAACACACAAGCAGAACCAGAGCTCTCATGTTGTCTGATGTAAAGTTAATATTCTCAGCAGGATCAGGAACTATCCAGAGATGCCCAATGCTTTTATAGAAGCTGGTGAGGTTTCCAGTCTGCATGCAGTATAATGATCAAAGATCTTCTTTGTAAGGGTGTGAAATGTGTTGTGTTCACGAGTGACTGAACTAGGGGATATTTTGTGATGAAATTTGACAGATTGGGAGTCACAGATCTATTAATTATTCATGCTTTTTATTCAAATACTCACATGACCACAGTTTAATCACGTTACTCTTCAAGAAAGATGTTTTAAAAGAAAGTAGGAGTCATACATGTAGTGCTAAAAGGCAAAAGAGAGGCCATAATGTTCATGTTTGTATCTCTCTCTCTCTGTATTTGTGTGTTGTCAGCACACAAAATGAACCACTGAATGGATTTTAATAACATTTTCAGAAATGTCTTCTCTTTATGTTCACAGCTGCCTAAATTTTTGAGTAAATGCAATTCAAAATGATAGCTACAGCTACATGAACTTAACAAATCCAAAACTAGCTATAACTCAGTGCGTTTTACAGATGTTGAGCCAACATTTGGTGTGGTAGTCCCTGAGAGTCATCTCCATCCCATACCTGCACGTTTTTTTGTTCTAGATACTTTGACATTGACCAACCTGTCTGCCTGTAAACAAAATATCTATGGGGTAGCTGTAGCTGAGTGGTTAGGGCAGTCGTCCTCCATTGGGAGAGTTGGTGATTTGATTCCACCAGCAGTCACATGATGAAGTGTCCCTGGGTAAGACACTAAACCCCTCATTGCCTCTGATGTGTGTCCCATCGATAAATGAATGTGATCTAAAGCACTGATTAATCTCTACAGATTCAGATTATCCGTCCGCCTTAACTTTTGTGTTTTTCTGTGTACTTGGTTCCTGGGCTTTGTCCTGTTTGGTTTAGTTTTTTCCCCTTGTGTTTTCCTTCATGCCCTCCATTCTGTTCCCCCTACCCCCCATCCAAATTAAGTAGAGTAATTTTGGGATGTCAGGGGCCATCCCCGGAGGGAAAGAATACTAAGAGGATCTGTGTTTTGTTTGAATTTTCTTGTGTCATCTGTTCAGTCTTCATTCATGTTGTCAGCCACAAGGGACATCAGCATACTCCTTGTTCAAATAACCATTTCCAAATGACATAAATGACAACACAACAAATAATGGGTGAAATTTGAGTTTTATTTTTATATTTTTCTTGAAAGACACCATGGTTTCATATCAGTACTGTACATTATAAAGTTGGAAGTATGCAAGTCAATATAGTGCAGTCACGAAGAAGAAAATAAAAACAAATGCTTTCTGGTACTATTCAGTTTTGAGGCAAAAATTTACTTCACCCAATCATGAAAAATAAGTGTAATGGTGTCAGAGTTGCTATTCTCAGGGTGTTAAGCTGAGGTAAATGGTATTGTAGTGAACTAGGCCTCCGATCAAACCTGCCTCTGAAGACCTTCATGGGACAGGAACTGTTATTTCATTGATTTGAATCCAGAAATACAAATTAGCTCATCCAGAGACTTTCTAATTGCATCCTGATCTAATCAATTGAAAGAACACTCTCTTTTTTATATTATCATTACTATTTTACAATATCTTGATAATCAAAAGTGTGTTTAGTTCATACCATTTTTAAATGTTGAAGTGAACCACTCATTTTAAATCAACTATGAAACAGTATTAATGATTTTTTAATCCTCATTCAAAGTAGAAATCAAGTTAAATGTCTATGTTACAAAGTAATTAGGCATTTTTGATCTTCTGTCTAAAATGTGAAGAGTGATGTCGGTCAAAAGTCGGAGACAGTCGAAAACAAGTTATTGGAACGAGCTATTGTGTTTTTAAACCTCTCAGACAGTAAATAAGAAAACTGGCACCTGTGAGTCTGTCATTTCTCCAAAATATTTTCTCGTCTTTGACTAACCGTTCTCAAAACATTCCGGCAGTTTTCTGACTTGTAATGACCCTCTGACGTCACTAAAACCACACCCATGTTGGTTCCTTCAACCAATCAGGACTTCCTAAAAGTGACCGGAAGCAGAACTCTTTAAAAGTCGACACTTCCTAGTTCCATTAGTTCCGTGAGTTCCGTTAGTTCTTCTGGTTCTGATGGAGTTCGGCTGGTGTTCCTCGGAGTTCTTCTGAAGTTCTTCTGAGTCTCTTTGAGTACTGTGGAGTAGTTCTGGAGTTTTTCCACTGCTGAGTGGAACTTCAGACTCAGTTTTCCAGGCTGATGGAGCATCCATCTCTGCAGGAGCCACGACGCCTCGCTGTGGCTCCACCCGGCGAATGCCCTATAACTGCTGAGGAAGTTTGTTCTGTGGAACGGATTATCTCACGACTTCTGCCGAGTCGCAGCCGCCCTGAGGAGATGCTGAAAGGTAGCGTGCCAGGGACCTCTTGACTGCAGCTGACCCATTCTCTGCCAAGGTAAAGAGTCGTCACTGGTTTCACTACAAGTGTACCACGGCGAGCTGCGTTTGAAAGGAGCGTGTTGTTCTGGTCTACAGACATACATCCTCATCCATCTTTTCTCTCCATTTAAACTCCTTCATTTCCCATCTTTAAACTTCTATCTTGCCAGTAATTAATCCAGATGCCTTCAGAAATGTCTGTTGTTTTTATTAAGTAAAACGTGCCAAGTTTTATTAATTAGAGCCGATCAGTATAATCAAGTGTACAATGTTTGATGTTAAATTTTGATTCTGTTAATAAATGACCACATTTATTTTGATGGGTCAAATAAAATTAACGTCTCATGTCACTGATTAAACCATCGACAACACAGTACCTCTGTCACATATCTGTCAAGTAGCTCGAAAAAGAGAGAACCCGTTATTAAAATATGACTGTAGTGGAGCTCGAAGCTAACCTAGCCTTTTAGCATACTACAGTATGAATATCAAAGAAGAAAAGTTTGGATGAGAATTTAACAACATTTATTGTGGTTTTGTCAGGCAAAGCTTTATAAATAAAGATAGCCTTTATATCTTGGGCAGAAACAGACTGAGGAAGTTTGCTGGCTCCTCATTGTTGTCCTTTGACTCTTCATCATGGCAGAAGTCTGGTGGGTTGAGTTGACTGGGGTCTGTAATCCCCTTGATGTTGTTGACGTAGCTAATGAACAGAACAAAAACAGTAACATTGAAAACACGCAAGTGTGCATACATGTTTTAGACTTGTTCAAGGGCTGAAACTAACCTGGTCACCACCCATCCAAACTGCTCAGTTTGAAAGAGAGTGGTGACAGGAATGCAACCAAACTCAGTGACCGAGCTCACATACTTTCCTGAATAGACAGAAAATAATGTATTTATAGAAAAAAGGTGAATGAATGAACAGAAAGCTATGAAATGTTCTCACACCTGTTTTGTCAGGCAGATCTCCTGTCCAGGTGTTGATCAGCAGACCCTCTCCAGGTCCAGATGAGCTGCCCAGGACAAACTGACCCACCAAAGTTGCATCTTTGGGAATAACCAGTGGCTGGAAGTCCGCCTTCAAAGGCTTCTTCTTACATGTCCGATTATGTTCATGAATTTCATACATAACATTCTGATGGATGAGACAATTTTTAGATTAATAAAATTTTGAACACACTTTAAGTTCTAAGTAAAATCTTTATTCTTGTTAAACAATCTGCATTTTGCTACTTAAGTTTTATTCTTGGAATAAAATTTAAACGATTCACTAACAACTCAGACTAAATGAGAGTTACCAAGCTCTGCGGAGGCAGGACTCCGGGAGTGGATGAGATTTACCCTGATTTCCTTAGGGCTCTGGATTTTGTGGGATGGTCTTGGTTGACATGCCTTTGCAGCATCACATGGACATTGGTGGCAGTGCCACTGGATTGGCACACTGGGGTTGTGGTTCTCTTCTTCAAAAAGGGGGACCGGATGGTGTGCTCCAATCACAGGGGCATCACTCTCCTTAGCCTCCCTGGTAAGGTCTATTCAGGGGTACTGGAGAAGTGAGTCCGATTGTTGGTCCAACTTCAGATCCAGGAGGAGCAATGCAGGTTCCATCCTGGCTGTGGAACACTGGATCAGCTCTTTACTCTCACTAGGGTCCTCGAGGGGTCATGGGAGTTTGTCCATCCAGTCTACATGTGTTTTGTGGACATGGAAACTTGTGGACTTGGACTTATGTTCCTCGAGGGGGTGCTCGGTGAGTATGGGATTGGTAGCCCATTGCTACGGGCTGTTGGGTCGCTAATACAAGCGGTGCGAGAATTTGGTTCGCATTGCCAGTAGTAATTCGGACCCCTTCAGGATGGGAGTTGGACTCCGCTGCCCATTGTCACAGATTATGTTCACAACTTTTATGGACAGGATTTCTTGGTGCAACCAGGAGGCAGAGGGAGCCCGGTTTGGTGGCTTCAGGATTCCTTCTCTGCTCTTTGCCAATGATGTGGTCCTGTTGGCGTCATCATGCCATGATCTTCAGTTCCCACTGGAGAGGTTCACACCCCAGTAGGAAGTGACTGTGATGAGAATAAGTACCTCCAAATCTGAAGCCATGGTCCTCAGTCAGAAAAGGGTGGATTGCTCTCTTCTGGTCTAGGGTGAGGTTCTGTCTCAAGTGGAGGAGTTCAAATATCTTGGGGTTTTGTTCACAAATGAGGGAAGAATGGAGTGTGAGATTGACAGACAGATTGGTGCAGCATCTGCAATATTGCAGACTCTGTGCCGGTCCATTGTGGTGAGGAGAGAGCTGAGCTATAACGCAAAGCTCTCTGTTTATCGGTCAGTCTATGTTCCTACCCTCACCTACAAGCTCTGTGTAGTGACCGAAAGAATGAGATCACGGATACAGGCCTTTCTGGATGGAGTTTGCATGTTCTCTTCATGCATGCATGGGTTTTCTCCAAATACTCTGCTTTCCTCCCTTAGACCAAAAACATATATGTTTGGTTGACTGGTAACTCTAAATTGTCCCTAGGTGTGAGTGAAAGAGTGAATGGTTGTTTGTCACGTTTGTCTCTATGATGTTTGTCCTGTGATGGACTGGAGACCTGTCCAAGGTGTCCGCCTCTTGCATAGTGACTGCTGGACATGGGCACCAGTGACCCCTGCGACCCAAAAAGGAAGAAGTGGATAAAGATAATGGATGGATGGATGGATGGATGGATAGAATTATGAACCAGCTATAGCACCAGCTCTGCTCTACCACCAGAACCTCTTTGTGATAACGCGTACTAAGTTTCATTACACTAGCGGATCAGAAGTTATGGACCTGACAAGAGAAACGTGACATTTATGTGCAAGGAAGGATGACGGGAGACCATGTAGTAATACATCCCACCTTTGACGGTAGTATAAAATAAAACTGTTTGTTTTGCTAATATGACATACTGACATTACATTTTAGGAATAGGTTATATGCTGGAACAAATTGGTGAATCATGCTTCTAAATTGCAAATAAACTTTCCCTTTCTCTCTCACTTCTGACCTATGGTATTTACACAACAAAATCAATATTTGACATGTTCTTGTCTTTGCTTTGGTCACCTCTCTGAAGAGTAGCAGTGCATCATAGGTGAAGGATTTGTTTTCATAGGTGCCCAGCTCCATGAGGCGCACTTTGTGGCCCAGAGCATCGTACAGGTATTTGGCAAAGGTCCACAGCTTTTCATTCTGTGTGGACTGGAGAGTCATAATATGAGTTGGTTTGTACATTTGGTTAGCAGCGTAGATCACATTTTATTGTATTTTGTTGAAAAAAAAACTCACCACAGTGATGAGCCCAGACAGAAGAGCAGGACTCGCTGTGTGCAATAAAAACAGCATCATTAATCAAAAGTACACACTTGTTTCTTTAAAACAGTATAATATGATAATAATAAAAGTCACAATATTTTACTCTACAAGGATTTAATGTAACAGTGGTCAGCCCACGTGAGCGAGGCATTTGAGCGGCAGAGATGATGCTGAGAAAAATAGAAAAGACGAGAACTTCGGCTCTGTCAACTCTTCCGTTCTGATTGTGAGGTGACATTTGTCTGCATGCAGGGAGAACTCTGCAAGAAGATGGTGTGGCCACGGTCAGAATTGTTCATACAGCTGTCCAGTTCCTTCGAGGTGACGTTGTCAGAACTGGACCCCTCGATACATAACAACAAAGGAGACAGATGTGATGCAGCAAGGAGGGAACATTTCAGACTGGATCTTGCTCCAAACTTCCCCTAATTAAGTAATTTACTTTTATCATGCTGATATGCTGTTTCTATTAATCAGAGTTACATTGTTTAAAGATACGAACAAACTAAATTTTAGTTGCCGGCAATCAGAGAACAAACTTTTAAATTTGCTTTAAGTTCCTTTAGTAAAACATGATACATTTATTTGTTTTGGAAAAAACTAAAGGAGGAAGATTAAGTTTTATCCATGAAGAGAAGAATTACTTAATTAAGGTTAAGGCTCATCTAATTATCGAAATATTTTTATGCTCATGCTGTAATTTTAATGCGAGTTTTGAGACGTTTTATCTTGAGTTATGACTGACTTTCAGGCCCGACAGAGCACTTTTGTTCATTTAGGGACACTTTAGGTGTGGCACTTTTACTCTAGAAGAAGGTCAGTGAAAATTAGCCAGTAATAATCTTAATTGTCTAAAACATCATGCTCTTTTTCAGAGTTTCTCAATTTTAAATCACACAAATGAAAGAATAGATATCCAGATAAACAGTCAATTTTAAACCAGTCCTCCACAATAACCTGTAAGCATTTGACTTTGTTTTAATTTATTTTATTTTCAACACAATTTGAAATTGGATTAAGATCTCTGTGTTATTCAACTACTGGTAAATGTTAACTTCAAACAGGTTAGATTGTAAAAGATTTTTTAAAATAGAGAAAATAAAAATATTTATTTTTATGTTGGGGTTTTATATAAATTCATTAAAAGGTTTATCAGTTTCAAGAACAAAAAAATGCAGCAATTATTAAAGTTCTTTTTACAAGTTATTTGTTTGCTATTATTTTTTTATGGATTATTGCATTCATTTCTTCAAAGTATACCGGTTTTAAGACTTTAAATCCAATAGTCTTCTAATAAACTAAACTAAACTTTTACACAACTGAGAAACAAGCCATTTAATTTAAAGTTATACAGATGTACTAAAGTCAAATAAGTTATTGTTTACTTTTAAGTCTAAAGTAATTGTGGTTTGTAATGGTTTCAATGGAATATGGTTTTAGAAATGAAGTTACATTGAGTTACAAAGCAGAGTTTATTGTATGCACAGAGGACCAGGAGAAAAGAATAACATTTAAAGGGATAGGCCGGTTACAGTATTTGGATATTATGCTGAAAGTCCACAAAGGACTATTTAGAATTTTCTTGTGGAAAAGGAAACTTCAAGCTACTGTTTTTCACATATTCACAGAGATTTTTTGTGTGTGGATTTTTTTTTTCTTTGTTTGTTCATTCTTCATTGGTTCAATGTTTCATTCAACTTGTGTTTCATTTATTTTTATCCACCTTTTTATTAAAGCTCAAGCAATCATCTGCTGCCACATATTCATTTTACATCAAAGGGTGATGAGGGTGTTCTTTTTTTATTCTTTTCTTTTTCCTTGTTAGTCTGTTTTGCTTTATGTAAGCAATGGATAATATATATTTTCATTTTGTGAGAACTGATTTGATTCTCAGAAGGAGGAATATGATAGAAATATAATACTGATCTGTTTTCTGATACATTAAATGTGATTATTACTATCTTTAAGGCATGATTTCTGTATTTGTGATGCATTGACTCTCTGTGAGTCTGGCTGTTCTCCAAAGATTTGTAATAATTTTGATTAAATCGTCACCTGATCGTTTGTGAATCAGGGTTTTTTTTTTACGACAGGCTACAAGTATCAAATTACAACGGAGCTTTAGGGCCACGCTAAGAAAAAAAAACATTTCCACATTAAGAAAAAAACATTAAAAGCCATAAAATTGCGAGAATAAAGTCGAATAAAGTCTTAATATTACGAGAAAAAAGTCATATGAGACTTTTTTCCTTCGCAGCGCTTGTTTATTTATTTATTTATTTTCCACGAGTCGGATCCACGGCGCGACCTGTCAGTCACTCTAGTAGGCTTGTCAGCAAATGACTAATCCAAAGCTAAATGAACTGTAATATTATCCAATATCTGACACGATAAAGCAGGTTTACCACACTTTAACTGTAGTAAAATGAAGAATGTTGAGCATCTTGTTAAGTTATACTTTGGTATTGGTTTAACAAATTAGGTGATAGTTAATCTGTTAGGTCATCAGCATCAGATTATTATCAGTATCAGGACTTTGAACCTGCAGTAAGGTGGTACGCTCTGATGAGCCACAGCAGCTCTCTGCAGGTAAGGAGCATTTAGCTTCGGATTGGTCATTTGCTGACAAGCCTACTGGATTGATTGACAGGTCATGTCGTTGATCCAACTTGTGGAAAATAAATAAACGAGCTGCTAAAAAAAGAAAAGTCTCGCACGACTTTATTCTTGTAATTTTATGGCTTATTTTTTTCTTAGCGTGGCCCAAAAGCTCTCTTGTAATCAAACAGCTAACTAGGTGAATGCAAAAGATAACAAAATAGCAAACTAAAAGCTATGGATAACAAATTGCTGACTAAAAACTAAATGTAACAAAGACTAGCTAAAAGCTAAACGTAGAAAGCTGTAGCTAGAAGCTAAAAGCAACAAAATATTAGTTAAAAGCTAAAAGTATAGTAAAAGGATACTTTAAAGTATCAAACAACTATAGTTAGATTAAAGCTAAAAGTAAATGGACTGTACTTATATAGAGCCTTTCTATCTTGTTGAGATACTCAAAGTGCTTTACACAACTACCTGTGTCCTTTTTTACTCATTCATACAGCACTCTACTACTTTGTAGATCTCTACAAAGCTAATTGAACAAATCATTCTAAAGAAACTAATCAGAGCTTTATCACATTCATACACTGATGGGACACACATCAGAGGCAATGAGGGGTTCAATGTCTTGCCCAAGGACACTTTGGCATGTGACTGCTGGGGGATTCAAACCCCCAACTCTTGCATTGGAAGACGACTGCTCTAACCACTCAGCCACAGCTGCCCCAAAGCAGTAAAAAGGCTAGCTAAAAGATAAAAGTAGTATAATAAGCTAAACTAATAACTGCTGAAAGAAATTTTAAAGAAAGGAATTATTTTGAAAGAATTGAAGGGACCTTAAATAATTTCTGTTAGGAAAATTATTTGTAAATAAATAAAGAAGTGTAAAAGTTTCAAAACTCAAACGTCACAGCAGCATGTCCTGAATGAATATATATTAATAATATATGAAAAGCTAAAATAGCCCAAAGTAAGTTAGAAGTAGTTAGATTAATAAAAAAAATAAACATTCAAAATAATAACAATAAAAAACACGTAAACATTAATAAATAATTTCATGGTGAATTTAAATAGAATTGTTCTGCAGTTGTTTCTATTGGCATTCTTGGACATAAAGGGTTTCCTCTTAAATCTTATAAGGCATAAAGTACTTTTAGGACTACAGGCTGTGATTTATTTATTTATTTTCCTAAATGGAAGAGAAGGATGTTCTGTACGACGGAGCTTTAGGGCCACACTAAAAAAAATTTTATATTACGAATGAGAACAAAGTCATAGTATTACGAGAATAAAGTCGTAGTATTATGAGAATAAAGTCCAAACAGTGCGAGAATGAAGTCATAATATTATGAGAGAAAACTAAACTCGTAATTTTACCAGAATAAATTTGTAATATAATCAGAACTCTGACATGAAAAAACAATCTTACAACTGCGGTAAAATGATGAATGTTGATGTCGGCCATTCAATAGCAGGGGGCCAACACACTGTATATGGATTCTTATGATAAATTGAAGCCATATGGCATTGCAATTAATGGCTGCATTGATGGATTTAGTCGTGACATAATGTGGATGGAGGCATTCTCATAATATTATGACTTTCTCTCTTAATATTATGACTTTATTCTCGTAATATTACAACTTTATTCTCGTAATTTTACGACTTTATTCTCGTAATATTGCGACTTTATTCTAGTAATATTATGACTTTATTCTTATCATATTACGACTTTATTCTCATAATATTCCAACTTTATTCTCGTAATATTCCAACTTTATTCTCGTAATTTTACAACTTTATTCTCGTAATTTATGACTTTATTCTTGTAATTTACAACTTTATTCTCGTAATATTATGACTTTTTTCTCATAATGTAATTTTTTTTCTTAGCATGGCCCTAAAGCTCCATCGTAGTTCTGAACTTGTCATATCTCATAAATAAAACACAACAGAAATCTAAACACTTTAACAAGTGACCACCAGACCTTTCCTGTAGCCCACAGATCAAAACAGTTTGTAATAAACCTAAAGTTTTTGCACACTGACTGTTTGAGGCTTACTTTATAGGCTGCATTTCTCTTTGTCAGGCTATGTGCTGCCACCCTTGCAAATGACATCAGAATCTGTGTCCTGCATTTCTGACAGGAGGCTTTTTCTTTGCTTTTGCTAACCAAGAATAGCAAAAACAAAAGTTGCTATAACCTCCTTAACTTTACAGACATTGAGCTAAAACTGAATGTGCTAGTAGCTGAGAGTCATCCTCAACACACACCTGAGTGCTAATACATTGCTGGGTCTTTATTTAAAACTCTGACATTTCTTAGAGTCAATCTTGTCTGTCAACATAATATCTTGTGAGCCAATGGACTGATTTTATCAGAAACTGATCAAATCATTAACATTTTGGCAGATTATTTGTAAACTCCAAATGATTGTTGGGCTTTAGAGGAAAATATGCTTGTTGGGTTTTTAGTTAGCAGTTGTATTGCTATATTTAAAATTTCTTGTAAGTTTTCTTGAACCTGAACTCACCACACGGATGAGGCTTCTCTGCCAGGCAGCCTGCCATCAAACACGCCAACAGCAACACGACCCTCATGCTTTTAGACTTCACGGTCCAGTTCAAATACTGCGGTGTTTAGTGCAAGCCTCACTTCTTTATAAAGGCTGACAGGAACTCTGGACAAACACCTGCCTTGAGGGTTTGGCTCTAACCATGAAAGTTAAAAATTAAACCTGCAGACAAAAAAAAAAAAGGTTTTATGAATCAGACGGAAGTGGTAAGTAAACATGAGACAAGCCCTGCTTCACTGAGGCTTAGTTAATGGGTTTTAAGGAGCAGATAAATGCACTGCAGTTTTTTTCATTTTTTTAATTAAAACATTTATGTCTTGGGCTTATTATAAATGCTTTGACTCAAAATATACACTAAAAGTTTTATCTCAAACCTACACCTGTGTTGTTTTGACCAGAACCCTTCAGTGAGTAGATAAAAGTTTATATGAGTGTGCATCATTGGGTCATGGGTGAGAGTTGTTTGCACTCATAACAGAGCATGAACGCTGAACCGGACCACGAGAACGACCTTTGGAAAAGTTAATGTTTTTTTCAATGTTAATTGGGGCAAATAAACAAAACATAACTTTTTTACATGGAAATGCTCCAGTTTTTATGCCAGGCAGTTACGTACCTGACAAAAAGATGAACTGTTCTACTGTCATGTGTGCTGAGTGAGGGAGTTGTATGATGAGGTGTGTGTTGGGTTTGGTGAACATGTACACAGAAAAGGTGTGGGTGAAAAAAATGATATTCAAGTTTATCTGACAACACTGTTGGGCTCAGCAGCATGCATCTTCCATGCAGTTGTGTATGATCACAGTCATAGCCAAACTAGTGAATCCAGGAATGTTCCTTTGGATCAAGGATGTTGTCAGTTGTTCCAAAATGCGGCTGCGAGAGTTTTAACGAGAGTTGATAGGAGAGATCATATATCTCCAGTTTATCTTCTCTCCATTGGCTCTCAGTCAATTCAGAATATAATTCAAAATCATAATAATTCAAAATCATACTTCTAACATCCAAAGCTCTCAACAATCTAGCTCCATCTTAGAGAATGAAGTTCAAACCATCTCTTCCATCGATCAAGATGGGCAATGTAAGATCACTGGGAAACAAGTTGGATGAACTTCAAGCCCTAACAAGGACCCATCCATAGTATTGGGAATGCAGTGTTATGTGTTTCACTGAGACATAGCTGCAGGATCATATCCCTGACTCCAGCGATTCTCTACCAGACTTTCTGACCATACAAGCAGATAGAGATATAAAGAAGAGCGGCAAAAAAACAACAAAAAAAAGGAGGTGGGTTGGCAGTGCTTGTGAACAACAGATGTTGTAATCCTGGACATGTTACTGTGAAGTGTCGTCTCTGCAGTCCAGATATTGAACTGTTAGCAGTAAGTTGTTGTCCATATTATTTGCCAAGAGAGTTCACCAGTGTTATTTTGGCAACTGTTTACATACCACCCAACGCTTTTGCCGAGACTGCGTGTGATGTCATCAGCTCCGAGGTCGCTAAACTACAGACACAACACCCTAGTGCGTTTGTTGCAATATCTGGGGATTTTAATCATGCCTCACTCTCTGCTACACTTCCAACATTCCAACCATAGGCATCGCAACCATTATATGTGAACGGGACAAGTCCCCCCCCCCACATTAAAAAACGATCATTTGGACCCCCCCCCCCCCCCACACACACACACACACTTTTACTATGAAACATTAGTTCAGGCGGCGCAGTTTCTCTTTCTTCGTGAACAAATCCATTCCACTTAATTAATAGGAGAATACTCAATATAATAAAACTCCACTCCAGGTTTTCCTGGTTACCTCCACCTCTACACACAGAGCAGAAACTGTGCAAGCAGCTGCTGCTGAGTCTCATGCTTCGGTAGAAAACGCACACAGGTGCAGGAGATGGAGACACCTCTGTGTTGCTCACTCGCCAGTTTAGCTGCTTAGTGCGGGCAGTTGTTGACCAGGGGGTTGATCATCAACATATATTCATGTTAGGAGGATGTTTGAGTGCAGCGCTACGTCTGTAGCATGTTCTCTTAGCAGTAACTGTGACGCTGTAAGACGCAGTAGGTGTAAGAGACGCTGTGTGTTCAGGTGCATTAAAGTTGAAATGTCTTTAAAACCCCACACCTTATTGTCCTCAAGCTTCGTGAGAAACATCATTTAGATTAGTAGTGTTGAACACAAGTAAAAATGTCTAGTGGTGATGTTTTTTATTTCTCTATAAACACAAATAGTGCAGATCTGACGCTCTGTATTAAATTGTATAAAAGTTAAAATGTCTCTAAAACCCACAGCTGAATTTACACAAACTTGGTGAGAAATGTGCTTTAAATGTGTGGAAGTAAAGGAAATCTAGGTGAAATTTTGCTTTTTTTGTACATTTCTTTTGCGCACACGCACGCGCGCACGTGCACACACCTACACACATTGCTGTGTCCCCCCCACATCACAGATGCTTCTGACGCCCTTGATTCCAACAATTTGTCAGCTGCTCTACCAGAGAAAACAAAACGCTGGACTTGTTTTATGCAAATGTCAAGGATTCATACATCACTAAAGCAAGACCCCCTCTTGGCAAATTAGATCAAAATCTTGTGTTTCTCTGCTCAAAATATAAACCCCTTGTTCAGAGACAACCTGCAATAAAGAGAACAGTGAGAAAATGGTCAACGGAAGCTGAAGAAGCCCTGCGGGGTTGTTTTGAGGCTACAGACTGGGATGCTCTGTGCCAGCCACATGGAGAGGACATCAATGCCATGACTGAGTGTGTGACCGACTATATAAACTTCTGTGTAAATAACACCATCCCCACCAGAATAGTGAGATGCTTCCCCAATAACAAACCCTGGATCACCACTGACCTGAAGGAACTGTTAAACCAGAAAAGAGAGCTTTCAGGGAGGGAGACAGGGAATTATTGAGGAGTACACAGAAGCAACTAAAAGTCAAGATAAGAAACAGCAAGGAGGTGTACAAGAAGAAGCTGGAGAGCAGGATCCATCAGAACAGTATCAGAGAGGTGTGGTCAGGGATCAAAAAGATCACAGGCTTCAAGCAGAAGGAGGATCAGAAGGATGGAAGCCTGGACAGAGCCAATGAACTGAACACATTCTTCAATAGTTTCAGTTCAGGAACAAGCTCAGCATCCTCCTCTCTTGCCCACAACCAAACATACATGCCACCCTCCATTGACCCAGGGCTGTCCTGTCACACCTGAAATATTGTATCTACCACCTCAGTCATGGACCTTTCTTCTTCTACATTTTGGTCTTCAACCAAATCAGAAGATGCTGATACCTCCTTTGCCTCCCCCCTCTGCTTCTCCAGAAGTCAGGTGAAGAAGCAGCTGGAGAGACTGAACCAGAATAAGGCTGCAGGTCCAGATGGTGTCAGTCCCAGAGTCCTTTTCTTGCTACTCTACGGTGAAACCAGATGTGTTTTCCCTCTCTGCCCCCCCCCCCCCCCCCCCCCCCCCCCCCCC